TTTTCTATCTTCTGTAGGGGAGACACCCTTCCCTCCCACATTTCTGAGCCCATGTAATTCTGTCGGGACAGATCCCCTCTCTACTCCAGGGGAGGGAGTATGACCTAGCCAGGCCAGTCAGAGTATTCCCTGTCTTTGCCCTCAGTGGCTGGTTCAGGTATGGGCACATGATCCAAGCCCAGTCAATGCAGAAGCTTGTTCTTTTCCTGGAGCTACTAAGTTTGTAGGATGCTGTGGCTGCTGGTGGCCAGCTCACTACAGATGAGGCAAGAATCTGCCTGAGATTGTGAAGCTAATGAAGATGAAAGAAATAGTTTCCTGACGATTGCTTGAGCACCTGGATCCATCCAGGCCTGAAGCTGGGTTGTTTTTTTTTTGCCTTTTCAGTTACATGAACACCACCTCATCCTCCTTCTCCTCCTCTTTCTTATTCTAGTTTGAGGCGGGTTTCCAACATTTGCAAACCGTACAATTTCCTGGACGACATGCTTACTGAGACTTCAGCACAAGCATCACAGTGTACGCAGAAGGCAAAGTGTTATGTAGGCCCTGACAGGCTTAAATAAAACCCACCAGGCTGGAATCATGTACCAAATTTACCTTTAAACTTGTAAATGTAAAGCAGTGGCCTCAGAGGAGGAGTGATTTAAGACCAAAGAACCAGTCATTAGCCAGGTAGTGAAACATTAAATAGAGGAATTTGGAACAAATGAATAGGTCTCTAGCTAGGGCAAACTTCAGAGCACAAGCCCCAAATTTCTGCTTCATAAGTTTATACCAGAGAAAACATTCCAAAGTTTTCAAACAAAACTTTCTAGTTGAAAAAACAGGTAAAATTTAAAACATACATCTGTTGTATATATTATATATCTAGTATATTCATTAGCTATGTCAATATAATTGTATTACTATCTATGCAAATACGTGTGCATGTATATGTAGAACCACAGAGTTCTTCCTTTTTTTCCCCTTGAGACAGTCTCATTCTGCGACATGAGCCTAGGTCACAGCAACCTCAGGCTCCTGACCTCAAGCTATCCTCCTGCCTCAGCCTCCCACGAAGGTATGACTTGTATCATCCACTCCTGGGCATGCCTGAGCGCCGATGAACTTTGTCAGCCAAGAATTTTTCTTCATGTGTTTCCATCTTGTATGTCATTCCACGGGTAATTTATTTGCAAAAGTGTCCACCTGGTAGCTGGGGAAGGGGTGTGTCTTGAGAGGTTTCCTGCCCGTGGGAATGCTCCCAGAGGAGGCAGCTGGGTGCTAGAGCCTATGGTTGAGCAATACCACATTCCTATCACAGGAGCCAGGTGCTGGGCTGAGCCATTGACACACTGTGCCCATTCAATACTACAGTAACCCCACGTGGTGGGAACTATTAGGATCCCAACTTTACAGAAATGGGAACCGAGGCTTTCAGAAGTGAAGCCACCTGTGCGATCCTGCGGCTGGTAAAGAGCAGGGCTGGACTATGTGGGCAGCGTGATTTGAACTTCAGGAGGCCCACACTAACCACTGTAACCACTGTGTGTCCACAAACATGTTTCGGTCCCTAGCTTCTGCCCCCACCCCCTGCTTTCTAATATTGGTAAGATAGCTGTCACATCTCTCTCTATCTGTGATGGCCACCCAGAGTCTGAGAGAAATGTTTCCCAGAGTCCTGGGAAAAGAATGGTTAACTCTTAGACTGTTAGGACGATTCCTGAAAACTCTACCCCAGAAGAAAACACAGCGCCCTCTCCAGGGACCCGAAAAATCCATCAGAAACAAGAGCAAGCAGGAATCAAGATGGATGCAAAATTCTTAGAAAAACTGGGCCCCCAAATGAGATGAGATCTAACAGGAGACACTCTCCAATCCTTCCCTTCTCTCTCCCAATAGTCCATAGGTTGAGTTCTTCAGACCAATGGAAAGTGAACTCATAGGAATGTGGAATTGTTGCCATGGCTACTCTCCCTCTGGTCCTCATTCATCTATGAGAGCTTGGAGGCAGCCTGCACGGAAGTTTCATAGCCTGATAAGGGGCCGAGAGGGACCTGAAGGCTCTTCGGTGAGGCTGGGGGTCTCCTGAGGAGAGCCTGACAGGGACAGAGGTTCCGGCTGCTGTAAAGTGTCCAGGTACTGGCCTGAGGGATGTCTGTCTGGTACCAGCAGTGACCAATGAAGCACCATGCAACTTCATGTAGCAATAAGATTTTTAAAAAATCATGTACAGCCAAGGGATTGTAAAAGAATGTTTTGTTATATTTGAAAATCTGTTGCTACTGCTCTTTCTGGCTAGTGTCAGGCTAAATGGTTTTCTCTCCGCTGTTACCTGCAAGTACAGACAGAGTTTCATTTGCACTGACTAGCTGTGTGACCCTGGGAAAGTCACTTAACCTCTCTGAGTTTCAGGTTCCTTGTCTGTAAAGCAGAGATCACGTGAGAACTCTGTCACAGGCTGTTTCGAACCAGCAGGTAATTTGCTTAGCGCAGTGTCCTGGAAGTTAGTGGCTCCTCCTGCCAACAGCATGATTCCATTGTAATAACTACTGATTTCAGCGTCTTACAGAATGTCCTCTTGCTCTTTCAATAGTCAACGTTAGGGGTCTTTACCACTGTGTGCCATATCGGTGTGATTAAAACAAAGTCCAGGCAGCCCCCAAGTTATAAACATCCGACTTACAACTCACACTTAGGAATGGAGGCTGCTACAGTAAGTCCCCAAGTTACAAACATCCAGCTGACATACAACTCACACTTACGAACGGAGGCTATGACAGGTAATAGGTAAATGTGTTTGTCCAATTTACATACAACTTCTGCTTAAGAACAAACCTCCAGAACCGACCTTGTTCATAACCCCAGGGCTGCCTATACACCCAGAACTGCCTGTACACCCTCCCCCCCATTGGTATACAAAAGTTTATTGCTTTATTGGCTACAGCCGAAAGGAGGAAGTAGCCCAAGTGTCCATCAACAGACGAAGAGGTCAACAAACTATGGGCTATCCGTGCAATGGGATGTTATCCAGCCTTAAGGAGGAAGGGAATTCTGGCACAGGCTACAACATGCGTAAAGCTTGAGGACACTACGGTAAGGGAAATAAACCAGTCACGAAAGGAGCAATGTTGTATCAGATTCAGAGGCAGAAAGTAGAATGGTGGTTGTCAGGGGCTGGGTGAGGAACAGGGAGTTCTTGTTTAACGGGTATAGAGTTTGTTTTGCAAAATGAGAAGCGTTCTATGGGGTGGTGCCTATGGCTCAAGGAGCAGGGCGCTGGCCCCATGTGCCAGAGGTGGTGGGTTCAAACCCAGCCCTGGCCAAAAACTACAAAAAAAAAAAAAAAAAAAGGGTTCTATGGATGGTCACTGCACTTAAAGTCACTGAACTGTAGGCTTAAAAATGGGTAAGATGATACATTTTATATATATTTTAGCAATCTAAAAAAAAAGAAAGCTGAGTGCTGGACATCTTAGCGTTCTGGGAGGCCGAGGATCACTTGAGCTCAGGAATTCGATACCAACCTAAGCAAGAGTGAGACCCTCATCTCTACTAAAAATAGAAAAATTACTGATGGTTGGGTATGGTGTGTGTGTCCACTGTCCCAGCTGTTTAGGAAGTGAAGCAGGAGAATTGCTTGAGCCCAGGAGTTGGAGGTTGTAGTGAGGGATGGTAATAGCACTGCACTCTAGCCAGGGTGACAGAGCAAAAGCCTCTCTCCAAAAAATAAAAAATAATAAGACATTAAAAGCAAGCAGTCGAAGTATCTCAGAGGTTTCTTTTGGGGGTGGGGTGATGGAAATGTCCTGAATGTAGATTATAATGATGGCAGCACGATTCTGTAAATACACTAAAATTTATTGACTTGTACGCTTCAAATGGGTGAAGTTTATGTTATGGAACGTATACTTCAATAACACTTTGAAAAGCAAGCAAGCAGGCTGGGGGAGGTGGCTCACGCCTACAATGCTAGCACTCTGAAAGGCTGAGACAGGTGGACTGCTTGAGCTCATGAGTTTGAGGTTGCTGTGCGGTAACACCACGGCACTATACCAAGGGTGACAAAGTTAGACTCTGTCTTAAACAAAACAAAACAAAACAAAACCAAGCAAGCAAACCACTGTCACATTGCGGCCCTTCCCTTGTTGCAGTGACTGTTTTACAGGAGCGTTTACATGGCAACATCTATCAGACTAGGTTAAGTTCACATATGGACTTTAATTACATATCAATTAGACCTCAATGAATCTGGTTTTTAAAAAGCAGCACAGTATCCCCCAAAAGAATGAACCTCATATTCTATTAAACAATGTCCCTTTTGATGGACATTTATGTCTCAAATTTCATGCCACTATAAAAATACTTCCATAAATATCCTTGTATGAAAAAAGAAAAATACAGGCATTGTGTGTTAACCCCCACCGGTAAGCCACGAAATCAGTTTCCTGGGGAAGAGGCCTGGGAACCTGTGATTTTACTGAACATTCCTCCCACATTCTTGTCACCAGACGCGTTAGGGAAACTCTGTTCGGAAAGTCACAGATGCGCATGTTCAAGATTGTCGGGTGTTGAGTGTCTACTTGGACACTGAGTCTCAGGCTTTACAGATAACCTCTCAAAACCACGCACCACCAAGAGAGTGGAGACCTAGACGTACAAAGATCCCTGGCCCAGGGCAGAGCAGGAAGCAGCAGAGCGCTGATCTGCCTAGAAAGGACCATTCATCTCTGCATTTTCAAAGGCACACGCCTGCTTTCCCCTCCTCCAGTGAAGCTGCACATTTGAGGGAAAATGCGGGTTGGGTGCTGGCCATGTGCAACTCGTGCATGTACCTCCACGATGTACCCAGGAGAGGGCGCTAAGACTCCCTCCTCCCCTGGTCTCCAGGAGGAGTCCGAACCGTGCCGCCAGAGTGCGCAGCAAGAAACCACAGTGACACAGCTCTGGGTGGGCTCCGCCCCATGGTGGTGCAGGAGGCGACCCAGCCCCTCTGCCCTGCAGGGGCCCGGACTCACCTGGGGTGGGTTTTCGATGACTAGTTCGTAGGTCAGTCCCGCAGAGCCAAACCTCAGGATGTCTCCAGGAATAAGCTTCACAGCCACATTCTGGATGTGGCACTCGTTGACAAACGTGCCGTTGCGGGAATTGAAGTCCTGGAGAACGAAGCTGCACTCGGCCTCATTATATTCAATGAGCGCGTGGTGGTTGTCGATGTCAGCAGACTGAAATAGAGAGAACAAAAATGACACGGCCCCCAGCGTTTCCTAGTGGGTGTCAGAATGTGTTAGGGGCTTTGTCTGTGTCACCAGGCTGTCACCACCAATCTCATTTTAAAAAGAGGCTGAGGGATCAGAGAGGTTAAGTGACTTGCCCAAGGCCACACAGCCAGCATGAGGGAGTTGTGAGAGGTGCCTTCTCTGACTCCAGATCTGGGACAGGTACCCAAGATGTCGGGTGGGGAATCAGGCAACACAGGAAAGGGGAACTTGGGAGAGCCTTATTAGGCACCATTTAGCCAGGGAATTGGCCACTTTCTATTTCCCTGACCCCACACAGGTGCTCAACGGCAGGGCAGGAAGCAGAAATGGCCCAAACACAAATCACAAAGGCCAGGCAACAAGCAACAAGTTCTTGGAATAGGGTATGTACGGTTAAGGGGTTATTGTAATTCATTTGCTTGTTCTATTCGTTTTTTTTTTTTTTTTTTTTTTGCAGTTTTTGGCCGGGGCCAGGCTTGAACCTGCCACCTCCGGTATATGAGGTCAGCACCCTATTGCTTTGAGCCACAGGAGCCGCCCTATACTATTCATTTTTAAAATACATGTTTTCCTAATATTACAGAAAATGAGCCATAAAGAAGAGCACTAAAGAAGACATTACAATCACACATAATCCCATCTCCCAAAGGCAGGCACTGTTAACATGCTGATTCACATCCTTCCAGGGTTTTCTATATGCTTACATTCTTATAAAAAAAATTTAAACAAAGTTAATCATACCATACATACATAGTTTTACAACTATCTTTTATAAACTTTGGTAAACAATGAATGTTTTCCCAGGCAGTTAGTTATTTCAACAGCTTCTCAAAGCTACCCAGATCTAAGCAAAGATGATCTACTTTTCCGAAGGGGACTTGGTGTGATCAGGTTTCCCCAAAGGCGAAGGGCCCCAGCCAGTGTGCCTGTGCCTTGGCAGTAGGCAACAAAAACGCTTCTGTAATTATACTGTAATAAGAAGACTGAGCAAAGCTGAACTAAAGGAAGTAACACATTTGCCTGGTGGCAGGGTCTCAGATAGCTGAGTGGAAATGTCCCGACTGTAAGCTTTAGGGTGCACTGAAGTCTTTTAGGGCATGGGCTAAATTAACTGGTATGAGTATATGAGCAGGTATTTTTTATCATTTTTTTTGGAGATGGGGTCTTGCTATGTTGCCCAGGCTGGAATGTGGTGGTTTTTCACAGGCATGATCATAGCGCATGACAACCTTGAACTCCTGAGCTCAAGTGATCCTCCTGCCTCAGCCTCATGGAGGAGCTGGGACTTCAGACAGATGTGTGTATTTAATCATATTTCTTTTTACTTTTTGGTCTTGGCCATGCTACCCCTGTCCCAGCTTTGGGAAAGGGATGTACGTAATGAAGAAACAGTAAAAACTGGGGTTTTCAAAAGAATAAGGATGGGAAGAAATGGCCTGGGTTCTGGCGAGACAGTAAGTCTGGGACGGAGGGAAAGAGGAAGCTCGTCTGTTTCCCTCCAGCCAGCAGAGTGTCCCCAGCCTCCCTGGGAGAGTCTCCTTGAGGAGCAAGCGAGCCTTTCATGGAGTGTCTCTGAGAGCAACCCTGAGACGGAGGGGAGACCTGAGAGTCCTGAGTGGTGGAGATTATCGGCCATGCCTCCTGGTGTACCCGGGTTTGGAGAGAGAGCTCAGGGGCTCACATGGCAGACTAGTGATCTGTCTATGCTGTAACTCCCTCATCTGTAAGAAGGGAATGACAGTCCCTGCCTTGGAGGCTTGTTGTAAGGATTAAATGAATTAATACACATGAAAGTTCAAAGGACAGTGCAAAGTAAGCCCCTCCCAGCTCATCTGCTACCTTTCTCCACTGCCAAAAGCTCTCAAAGCCAACCCACACCACCACCTCCCTCCTCATGCCAAGAGTCCAGAGACGAGATGGTAATAACTGTGGCTGGCAGCATGGTCCCCCAGAGATGTCCACGTTCTAATCCCTAGAGCCTGTGAATATGCTATATGACATGGCAAAAGGGCTCATGCAGACATAAAGATTACTCATTAGTGATCTTAAAATAGGGAGATTGTCTTGCATTATCTGGGTGGGGCTTATCCAATCGTGTGAACCCTTGAAGATTCGAAGCTGTGATCAGCCCCCAACTGGGGGGTCCTTGGTCTTCTAACTGCACAGAACTAATTCTGCCAACAGCCTGAAGGGGCCTGGAGACAGACTATTTCCCAAGAACTCCAGAAAAAGAGCCCAGGTGACCAGGGTCAGGGGAACTTGCTGAGTTCACCCAGACTTTTGACCTACAGAACCACCAGAAAACAAATTTTTGTTGTTTTAAACAGAAAACTAATACAATAACCACCAAGTGCATTTCACAATGATTCTGTCTCATGACAGAGTTACTGCAGTGGTCCCCGTGGTACACACACAGAAGTCACTGCTGAGGATGGCAGGTAACTTGCTCGAGATCCTTCAACTCAGCAGACAGAGCCGGGATAGGAGCAAGGTCCTGAGTCCCAGCTCACACCCTTGACCCCCCCTGTTCTAGACCCAGCCCAGAGCCTATTCTGCCTGCTGTTGCCAGAGTTCTCTCCCAGCTTACAAAGATAATCAGTTCTTCTCCAGATGAAAGGCCTTTCTTTTGAAGAGGAGGATCCATCTTCCAAACAAGTTAAAACAGTTCACCACACATCTCCAGCCCTTTGCACATGCTGTTTCTTATACGTGGAGTGTCTTTTCCTGCCTGCTCTGCCTGGAAAATCCCCAGGTTTCTCTTTAGACAGGAGGCTCAAGCTTGAGGAGCTGTCCCCAACAGCCCAGCCAGGCTCCTTGAGGGTCCCCCAGTGCAGCCCCAGCACAGCCTGGGTCAACATTTCCTCTTTACCCGAACTGCACACCAGAGGGCGCCACCGAGGCTCATTGGGACGGTGAGAATCACCGGAAAATCCATTTCATTGTCCTGCGGATGAACATCATTTAAGATTCTAAACTACGGAATTTTCCTAGCTTAGTCACTGCCTTGTTATCTCAATGAACTCCCAAGAAATTTCAGATGTTTAGATTTTTAGATGTTCTCCCCAAACCAAATTGACACCCAAATGATGAAACGTCTTTCTCTAGAAGCTTTGAGTCAGGCCCATGTCTGGAACTCAGCCTCTCCGTTCCAATTTTGCAGAAAGCTACTTAACTTTTCCGAGCCCCGTTGTGCACATCTTTCCGTGAGGATAATAACAATAGTAGTTCCGCCCCCAGGAGGCTGTTTTGAGGATACAGTTCTATAGTACACATGCGGCCTCTGCACTATATCTGGGGTAAAGTAAAATACCGTCGGGGATAAAGTCACGCGAGATACCTAATGAACCGTCTGCACAGGTGAGCTGTGGCTGTCTTGTTTGTGTTACTCAAAATATTCACGATCTTTCACCTCATACCCATTAGGATAACTACTATATTAAAAAAAATAACAAGTGTTGGTGAGGATGTGGAGAAATTGGAACTGTGATGCTCAATTACTGGGAATGTAAAATGGTATGGCCCCCGTGGAAAACAATACACTGTTTCCTCAAAAAAATTAAAACTAGGATTACCTGGTTTGGCGCCCCAGCTCAGTGGTTAGGGCATGGGCCACATACACCAGGGCCTGCTAAACAATGACCACAACAACATAGCCGGGCATTGTGGCAGGCCCCTGTAGTCCCAGCTACTTGGGAGGCTGAGGCAAGAGAATGGATTAAGCCCAAGAGTTGGAGGTTGCCGTGAGCTGTGACGCCACAGCACTCTACCCAGGGAGACATAGTGAGACTCTGTCTCAATGATAATAATAATAATAATAATTACCAATATCATCTGGCAATTCCACTTCTGGGTACATACCCTAAAGAATTGAAAACAGGGTCCTGAAGAGGTATTTGTAAGCCCGCTTTCAACAGTGGCATTATTTATTTGCAACAGCCGAAAGGCAGAAGCAGCCCACCCAAGTGTCCATCAGCAGACAGTGGATAAACAAAATTTGGGATATACACACAACGGAATGTTACTCAGTCTTCAGAAGAAAGGGGAAATAAAGGAAGGACATGCTGACACATGTCCCAGCACGGATGACCCTTCAGGACGTTATGCTCCGTAAGTCAGTCACAGAAAGATAAATATTGCATGATTCAACTTACAGGTGGCCACAACGGGCAAATTCAAAGAGACAGAGGGCTCTGAGAAAAAGACTTGATCATAATATCTTTTTTGTAATTGTAGTAAAATACATATAGTTTACCATCCCCGTTTCTTAGTGGACAGTTCAGTAGCGTTCAGTACGTTCTCACTGCTGAACCACCATCACCCCCATCCATCCAGGGAACTCTTCATCTTATGAAACCGAAACTCTGTGCCATTAAAGGATAACTGCCCACCCCAAGTCCAGTGCCTGGCAGCCACCATCCTTCTGACAGAGCATGACCTGCTGCAGCTGAGGAGACCATGCAAGTCTCATTGAACAAACACCGCTTGGGGTGCAGCTAGGGCAGGAAGGCCAGCGAGTGGGCACAGATGGAAGTGTGGGCAGCCGGGCTTCCCCCAGGCCTGCTTCCTTCCATGGATTTTGTTGCAGGCCCCAGGAGGTTGGTAAGACACCTTTATCCAGGCCCATTGTCACCTTATCTCTCAGAACTTGAGGGGTTCACTCCTAGTAAGAGAAATGTAAATGAAAATGATAGGGATACCGTATTTCACCTCTAAGATGAGCAAGATCCAAGAGCAGGGTGTTGCATTCTGCTGGGGAGGGGCGGACCCACTGCTGCTAGAGACTAGCCCTGTAAGCCTTTGCTGGACAGACACAGCCCTTGGACACAGCACGTGGACTCACACACCTGTGACACATGGAAGTACAAGGTCTTCAGTGCAGCACTGTTTAATAATAAGAAAGCGATTGTGATGCAGGCTCTGGTGGTTCTTTTATTCTAGGCTGCCCAGAAATGGCAGGTGCTGGG